AAGTGTTGTGCAAGCTAGTGGCGCTTCATGAGTTGTCTGATCTAGGAAAGTACCATCATGAAGCTGATCAGGTAGATTAAATTAGGTTAGGTGGGAATATGGTCCTTCAATGTTTAAGTTAGGGGGTATGTTTCAGCTAAGGCCTTGGAGGATCTGTTCAAAAAATATTTTGTTCAAGACCTATAATAATGTTATTTACAATAAACCGATACTTAATAAATTTGAAAAGATATTTAATGTGTCACTTATCAACATGTGACTCTTCAATTTTTGTGCCCGCCCTATAAAAATAGCAAGGGGTCGCTCTTTTTCACTTTACACATTCAGTTTTATTTCTCTGTCTTCGGTTTCTTTTATTTTCATCTTTCAAATGTCTATTATGTTGTGTGATGGCTCTGAAATATTCCCCCACTCTTTTTGGCTCCATCAAGGGTGATGACTCTTCATTTTTTATAGAAAACAAGGTGAAGGAACAAGAGAGGAGATACATTATTCATTTCAGTGTCACTCTTAGAAAGTTTCCTTGATCGATGCGGGCAGGGGACGTCATGGGCAAGGACCTCATCTTTTACAAAGATCAGTTCAAGTACAACCTCTGATTACCTCTGTGTGATGAGCTCCATAGTGTAGTCAATACATACGGGGTTACTCTGGCACACGTGTCGCCGAACTCCATGACTGCGATAATGACATTCATTCTCTTTTGTTGATGGGAGAATATGTTATGGTTGATCGACCTTTATAATTATTTTTGTTTACATTTAAAGTTGATAAGGAGGCTTTGCCATGTTCTCAATGAGAAAGAAACTCCACTTTCTGGAAGTGGAGAATAAAATAAAGGATGAAAAGAAGAAATTTTTTATCGGTTACTGACCTAGCTCCTAGGGGATCTAGACCGAGGCAACAAAGTGCGAGTTGCCCAAACCAAGATCTCTTCTTGAGAGCATGGAGGTCACTGAGAAGATTTTGACCAACCATTGGCTCTCGTTCCCTCAGTATACTGTTGAGGGGACGGTTACCTGTATACTGACGTGTAAGATGACTGAGCAGCTCTGCCGTCTCTTAGATATTGAAAGGTGGTCTGAGTGAAGGGGGTGAAGGAAAAGCTGACCATCAACCATTAGAAGTGGGAGAGTCCCTCAAGGTCAAGTAATTTTGCAAGAGATGAGGGCCCACTTCCTCACAGTCTGGTCTCGAGATACTTTTCCTCCATGTCTAATCATAGTGTTGTTATTCAAGATGAGGTGATTAGCAAGGTCAATGTTATCGCTCAAAAATGTGTTTGTCATTTTGTTGATTCAAGGGAAGAATACAGGAGAACTTCTATTCCTAAGAAGACTCTGGATGAGATTAAGGTCGCATTCTCTTCTTTCTTAAAAGTGGATGTGTCGTCTGGTGCATCATTGGTTGTCATTGTTGCACGTCTGTGGTTCATATTTTGTTGCCCTATCCAAGCAGGTGGTGTCCAGTCAACCCCTTTCCCCTTCCTTAACTGGATCATTGTCAGAGACGGCCTCATCTCCAAGCTATGATCCCTTGCCTTTGACAGAAGGGAAGACCATCCGTTGGGGAGGAAAAAAGCTGGTAGAATGTGTGTCAGCCCCTCCTTTCTCTTCGTTGAGAAGGAGCAAGGAGGCCTTTGAATGGAAACCCTTAATAGAATCTGCTAGATGTATATGGACTAATATTGACCTACGGTTTAGTCTTTTAGACACGTTGAGAGACTAACACCCTCCATCGGCCAAGAATAGGGGCATATAGTCGCTTCTATTGGAGTTGTTATGGTATAAGGATCTATACCGGGCCTTCAAAAAATCAGGCCATGAAGAGCTCTGCCAGAACATAAATTGGTTCTTCTTTGGTGGTTGCACAGGCCTCTCACTTCTAGGGGTTGACCTTGATGGAGGCTTGGAAAAAGATTGACTCTCTTAAGGTAGATTTGAGGATGGTCCGTGACAACCGAGAGCTTTTATAGTTGAAAATGAAGAGCACGAGTAAGGCTAATCAAGAATCTCTTGTCATGATAGAGAATTTGAAGAAGGAGGTTTCTGTGTTAAAAGAAAGAATTATCTTGTTCATTTCTACAAAGGAGTACGAGGATGGCTTGGCGAGTGAGCTCACGTGTGGGGCGGATTATGCCATACAACAATTCAACCATCATGGCTTGGTCAACCTAAAGTACTCTGACCCAGAAGAGTTCTCTTCCTAAATTCAAGATAACTTGGATGGAGTCTCCTAGGAAAAGGAGGGTGATTCGGGTAGTGTGAAAGGATTGGGCACTTATTAAGGCCTTGTTGCACGTAGACACCTGTGCAAGAAGAATCATCTTTTTTATCTACTTTTTTTAGGAAAAGTAAAAGCTAGAACATCTATAATTATTTTTGCTTATTTTGGAAAAATAATCATTATTTTCTTGCTTACTTTGGGTTGGTTGCATTTTGATTGATTGTGTGCTCACATTGTGAGTCAATCTGTTGTTTGCTCTACGCTCTTTCACAGATCTTGTTACTAGTGAGCTGATAACCATCTCTAGAGAGTAGGACTTTTTGACTTTAAGTGCTTAGGTTTGCGGTGCGATGATGGAGCAAGAAGTCAACTGATTTATCTTAACTAATTGCTTGGATCACTTGTATCCCTATGCATTGTATGCGCACTACCTATCTTAAGTGATATGTGTACTATATTTTTTTTGTATCATAATTATTTTGCTTGGTGTACCTATTCTTCATGAATTTTAGGGTCAAAAGCTATTCTAGTCTCCCTCAACGATGTCCTCGATTGGGTCGAGTTCCCCGAACATCATGATATTTGGAGTCTGCGCATCTTGGCGGGTTTGGCGATTTTACCCTATCACACGATTCAGGCGGGCCAACACTAAGGGCTGCCCTGATCTCGATGCATGTTCAATTGTTTCCATTATCAAAATGCATCTGTCGTCCTGTCCCATCACTAGGGCTCACAACCCCATGATGGGTCCTTGTGTTAGGAGACCATTGTTTTTCAAGGATGACTTCTCTCTCTATAAAAAGGAGGGATAGGAGGGTCCCCTTTTGTTTGTACTTGCATCTTTAAAAGGAACTCGTTAGTCTGACACCATGGTAAATAAATTGCTACAACATAAGATCAGAAATGAAAGCGGCCCTCTTCCACCTGGGCCAAGGAACCTTGTCTGGATAATGTATTGACTTTTATCTTTTTTCCTATTTCTGTGTTAACAGAGTGGTGTCCTCTGAGTTGGGTATCTGGTGACTCCTGATCGGGTATGCTTATCAAATTTGCAACCAACACATTAAGCAAAGTGTCTTTCTGAGGGAGTGTTGTGCGACCTTCGTGTCCCAAGGGGAATGCAATATGGTCAGCAGTTGCTTCGACCCTTGTACAGTTCCAAAGTGGGAATCATAAACTTCTCTGGTGGTCGGCTTCCATAATATGTTGGGCAAACACATTTTCCATTCAACGATAGAATTCTATTGCTCTTGGTTGTGCTCCTCCCTTTGGCTCAGATCTGGCACTGTCTTGGTACTAAGACTCTTCCACCCGCTCAGTGGCTTGGGCTGCCTGTTGAGCTTAGGGTTTGGGTGTTGGCAGATTAGGTTGTGGGAGAGTTTGTGCCCTTCCTTCAAGCACCACTCGGGTCAGCTCTTCAATTTGTCCTGTCATCCAATCCAAGAGTCCTTGTATTTTTTTGTTCCATGAATTCCCAAATAAACTCCACATTGGAGGCTTCTCCTTGATGTGTTCCTTCACCCTGACGTGCTCCTCATCTTGTTAAAAGCATGAATCCACACTCACCACACCTCTTAGGTTGTTTGATTCTAAATTATCTTGTGGAAAACACCCAAGGAATAGAGCACCGGTCGAATGATGGAACGAGAATTAAGATACAAGTAACACTTAACTTGGTAGGAATTTTTGGAATTAGTCCATCAGTGAAAATGACCCTTTTATTTATAAATCATACGTATGTTATAAAAAATTACATGATTGTCCCAAATTTAGTGAAAATGTTACTATAATTATAAGTCATTACATATTTACATATTTGCAACTGAATAATCTACGTTTTGAATTTGTAACTATTGTCTATCTTTGTCATTTGGTATTCATTCGGTCGGCCCAATATTTCTACTCTACGAACTTTGAAATTTCAAGTTATAAGAGTCATTGAATAAATTAACATAGGATCAGATATGCCCCTCAACCAACTCACCCCACCAAATTCATTAGTTTTGCCAAATATTGAGAGATGTGGCAAGTAAATTCCAAAAAGCATCACATTTTGTTTGAACATTTTAGCAGATCAGAATTTAGAAAATTTTGCACTACATGCTATAAATACTTATGTTTTACAAAATTACGAACAGATACTGATGGGAAGGGGCCTGATGATGAAGACAACGAGCACTCGCCCCCTCATGATGTAGAGAATGGTCCCTTGTCTAGCAGCTAATGTTTGGATTATCTTTTTATATTTTTTTGACAATTTGAGTAGTGATGAATTATATCATGATGCCAACTTATATGACTTTATGTTAAGTAGATTAGATTCGTGCTTTACTCAATGAAAATCTTGGTCTCATTGGGTGAAGTCAAATTACATGGTTCAAAATATGATTATCTTATCTGACCTTTCGGGCCATTTTGCCAAATAGTACTATTCTGACTCGGTATAATTGACTCAGATTCTTTCATGCTTCATTAACATCTCTGTTCATGCTTTCTCTTAATGAATCGAAACTCATTAAATTCAAATTTTTTTTTAAATAATTCAGCACCAGGAGATCATAAACTAGAAATTTTAGTTATTATATGTATAATCATTTGTCAATATTTTCAAAGTAAATAATGAAATTATCAAAAAGAAATCAATTCATATGCATAAATGCCCACATTACAAGGAAAAATTTCACGCATGAACACAACATTACTGATCAAATACGAAATGTGAAATTCATCCGAAACTAACCCAAGAAACATTATTCATTACAATTAAATCTTGTTCAATTTGTCTGCTTTGACGAGCGGCGCATTGGCTTCTTCCAACCCGCGCGGCCCCGATAGTCAAAAGTGCAGTCGTGCTGTTCCGGGAGGCGGTGCGCCGCACAGAAAATACTGTTGCAGCGACACTTGATGGCCGCCATGACCAACCCCACCTTTCTATCGCACTTTGAGCACCTCAGCCTCCCTTTCTTATAATTCTCAGACTCTGTAATAGAAGCAGAGATCTTATCAGACCCAACATCGCCGCCCTTATTTTCGCTCTCTAAAATCAACGCAGCGTTAATACGGGAGGCCAGAATATGATCGCAGTAGCATTTGGAGCAGAAGCCGAGCGTAGCGTTGTTGCCGTAGAACCCGCAGCCATTAGCGCAGAGGCCGGGGTTTGGGTCTCTGGTTGGTGAGTTCAGTGAGTCCATTAGCAGAGACTGATTCAAGAGGAAAGGAGGATTCGGAAGCTTGAAAAAATAGGTTTTTGATAGAGGAGAGGAGAGCAGTGTTCGATCCAATTTATAGGCGTTTGAAGGATTTCAAAATTTGTGAAATTTAAACTGTTTAGGGATTATTTTAGGAAATAAAATATGTTTGCAAGAAATTGGGCTTGCTTAAAATATGTGAATGTGAATCGAATAGTTAGGTTTAACGGATCTTAAGTGTACGTTAGAATTCCAGCAAGGCATTTTTAAAAATTTCATCGGCTTATCTATTTAGTTTAGATTTAAATTTTTCTTAGAAGTGAGGGAATTTTTTAATTTATAATAAAAGGAAGTTTCCAGTTCTAAAAGTGATATATATGTGTGTGTGTGTGTGTTCCTTTCCACTTAATAAGTTGGTCGGACATCTGCTTGTCAGTTGTAAGCCCACTCTAGTCAAGGGTTCAATCCCTCCCCCAGTATAGGGTGTGGTACTTGAATTATAGACGCATGAGGGATGTTTGGGGCTCGTATCATAGCCTCAGACCATTCCTTTCAATATATATAAAAGTTATTATTCAACTCCATAGATTCTTTGGTGCGGAATGATGAGTGGGCTATGTACGGTTAAGCTCCATGTGGGAATCGCTTATGTTCTGATATTCGTATTATTTTGGGTTTATTCTGGATTTTGCTAACTCTCACATGTCAGTCTGGAACTAATTCGCGTAGTTAAATCGAGATATATTTGAGTGCAGTGGGCACAAACTATTTAATTGTGGAGATTTGGCTTTTCTTTTCATTCTTCATTTCAACAGATGAGATTGGGGACTGTCAGGTTTGCTGCTCACGATAGTTAGTGCTGTTGAGGAGGATCCTGTTGCTGCTTCAAGTCAAGGGGAAGTATACTTCTCTAATGTTCTATAGGAAGCTATCATTTTATGTAGCTACTTTACTGCTCTTTGCAAGAGGGATGACTTTTGGTTTTGATTCTGGAATTCACTCATTTAGTTGGATGAAGGTATTAGAGGGCATCTCGGGTTTCAGATGGTGTCATTTATGCTTATTGTGTTCTAATGGGGACTTGTTTCATCTGTAGTACCTCAATTATTGGATAATCATCATTGTGCTCATCTTACTGTTGCTTTTATTTTTGTTGAGGCTTTTGCAACATTTGGGTTGTCGGTGGGGCTGTTTTGTTGAAGGGTTGTGCTATTCTTTAAGGATGTTGTCTCATGTTGAAGCTATCACCTGCAAGTTAGAGAGGGTTTTGCTCCTGTATGGTCGTCAAATTATAGATATATAATTTTTCAAGATTTATTGGGTATCTTTTTAACATTAATAAGTCTTCAAGAAACACCCAAAAGTCATGTTACAAATTATTTGAAGTTATTTAGAAGTATAAAATTAGACAATTGGAGGGGTGACATAAGGAAATACTACCGCCCGGACACAGTCATGTATCCGATATTCATTTAAATCTTATAAATTTTAAGTCATTAAAATTTAACTAACAAAAATAAAATAAAATACATTAAATTTTTATAATGCCTTCATTGTTTCCAACCAAAAACCAAAAATTTTTATAATGCCTTCACATGCTTTGAGAGGACCATCACCAATTGAACAAAGTGGTTGATAGAAAACTCAAAATTGAGTCGAAACTAGTTCCCCAGTTTTTCAGAATGCACCTCAGTCGTGACGGACGAGGCCACCTTCGCAGACAAATTGTCATTCTCTTCCAACATGATCGAGAGTCATTCTGAAGCTCCCACCAGACTCTCATCTTATTCTGTAAGGTGATCCTAAGCCTCATATGCCCATCAGAATGCCTACTTCTGATGAACTTGACAGTTTTCACTTTCTTACTCACCGTGCCACCTCATCCACAATGTCAAGGTATAGGTTGACAAGTAGTGAGAGGATGCCACGCCCACTAGCAGGTACTTATCGACTATGCGACATAGTTCCAGAGGGTTGAGGTCATTTAACTTATCCTTAAAAGTCATGAACCATAGCGCGTCCACAAGCTCAGAGGCATGGCACTCTACTCCTGGACCATGGTTGAACCAGTCACGCTGCAGCTCAATGAGTGCGAACCAAGAATCCCTCAAGACGAAGGCTCTTGGCCACTCCTCCTGCATTGGGATCCATTCATTACTACCTTGAGGAGAGAGGAAAAGGGTGAATCCTCACTACCCATGGGCTCTTTCTCTTTCCTTTGTTGGGATCTCTCATGGACAGGAGAACTGCTTTCTAGTTTGGTATGAGAAGTGGCACTGCCTTTATCAAACTCATGGCTTGAGGTCTCCGCCTCCAGATTGGCTCTGAACCCAAATCATGCTTTGTCTGGACTTGTGCTCTGGCTGGGACCCTCTTCTCTTATTGCAGGACAGAAAGACAGCCGACCAGTTTTTCCCCTCTTGGCAAAGTTAATGAAACCTGATGCGTTAGACGAGGGTCCTCTTGAGCCTCAATCAATTCATCAACTAAAATGGACCCAGCATCAGATCACAAAGCATAAGGGATCACAATGTCACCACCCCCCACGTTACCTATCAAAAAGGAAGGTTTTCTTTGAATTAAGGTTAACTCACCAGTTGAAATTCACTGAATTATTATGGTCGTTTCGGACGTAGAAATGAGGAGATATGAACCTGGAGTTTTCTTCGGAGGTGCTTTCTCCCTTTTCAATATTTTCTTCATTCTCGGCTCCTTCGTGGAGTCCTTGGCCACCTTGTTGATCTGTCACTTCAACTCCTTAGCATATGAGGCAACCCACAACTCTCGAGTTATTCGACCATACTTATTTGGATTTAGAATCTTATGCACTATGCCTATACGAGTATAATAGACAACATAATGACTTTTTCCTTCGACGATAATGCGAGCGAATTTAGTGTGGAAAGGCCAATGAAAAGGTTGAATAGACATGGCCACTGATGCGGGGTGGATTTAGTATGTTAATTTTGCAAATATTTTTCAATATTAAAAAATACATACGACAGATACAATAGTAAATATGCAGTTTAATTTCAATAAAAATAACTTTACTGAAAATAGTTTTATCTTTTAAAAATCCTTAAACTGTCAAATCCCCCTAAAAATAATGCAAGTATACTTATCGTTCAAGTAATAAAGGGCTCTAATGAAGTCTTATATATCGATCCCACATGGAAGTTGGACATGCTTATAAGTAAATTCTTAAAATTATAATGTAAACTACAACTTTAAACTACAAAAGTGAAGTACGAAAATTGAATATAAAGTAAATGAGTGAATGCTAAATAAAATGCAGTTACAGGACTAAGTTAATTAAACTAATTGCCAAACTTTCAAAAGTAAAATTTATGAAAACTAAATAATGTTTTGGTGACGAAGGGTTCAAATTTTAAGAAAGAATCATTTCCCTTTACAATGAGTGTATGGATTATGAATAAATTAAAATAATTTGAAAATATATAAAATTATTTTGTGTCAAATAGAAGCAATCATATTCTTTACCCTCTTCCAAGTGCATATAGAACATTGGCTAATCCAAAGTTTGGTCTCTAATTTTGTGGTTAGGCTGAAAGGATACCGGCTGACGCTCCAGAACTCCCACTACTCCCGCGCCTGAGGGCTAACAATCTTGCATTAGTTTCTAATCAATCAAACAAAATTGGGGATTTTAATCTGTCACCTTAAAATCTCCAATTCTACATCCAACAAAATGTATTTCTCTATTTATTTGCACTCAACCCCTTGGATGACATCCTCTCCCATTAAATTAATTGTGACTCTCACTATGTTGTAGAAATCATAGCCCTTT